TTTCCATAGTGTATCTTTCAATACGAACAAATTGGGAACATATAATCTGAACTAGCTGCATACTAGGGGGAACCATACCTAGATGGCCTTTAGTACTTGAAAGAACCAGAACATTTCTTGCGTTTTGTTAATTTTGCAATTGAACAACTCACTACACTAAGTTTGCTAGATAATAGAAGTTCACAGAGTAGGCAGTAGATCTAGACCCTGGGTTGATAAATTAAACTGAATCACTATTCTGCATTTCCATTCTACGATTACACTTGGTCGTAGTTTGGTGTTGTGTCGTAGTGTGGCAATAAACCCAACATAAAAAAATTAATGGCGCCTGGGCCCACCACTACCATCTCCAAATGGTGCCTACCAACACAAACTCATACATTGGTTTATGATTGCCCCGTTAACGGGCTCCTCCCTCGTTCGGAGCCGGGCTCCTGTCGTTGCATCATTGCATCCGGACCCGACTTCCCGACAATCTTCGCCTGATGCCCGCTCCCACGTTGCATAATTGCATTCAGACCCGGCGCCCCGACTTTCTCAGGCGCTCGGCATCACCATCACCATCACCCAGTGCCCGTGCTCGCTATTGTTCCCGACTTTGACAAAATTTCTGTCCCGAGGAAGGTCTAGGGAAGTTCATAGCCAAGTGGGAAGGCCCATATTGGGGGGAGCGGTTACGGTGCTAATTGTACAAGAGTTAGCACCGTCCTAACCAAGAGTTAGTAGTGATTTAGCTTAGATGTTGTATTGATTTTATAATAATCCGTAGTGATTTCATTGTTATTAGTAGCGTTTTTTTGCTAGTTATCACGGTGCTAACCCCTATAAGGGTTAGCACCTAATCCCATCCCCCATATTGGGTAAGAGAAGTAATCGGTCCCAGCACGGAGAAGCTTGGAGATGTCGAGGATGAAGACATGTCTAAAACATGGAATGCCATGCACCTATGTATATATTTCACATCCATGTAATAGAGGCGCTCGCACTTAGCAAAGTTTGTAATAATAAAAGTGCATGGTTCGTGGATTACATATGAAATTCCAAAATGATACGATAAACAACAAAGAAGCATGAGACCACCACTTAATCAAACAAAGGAGACCTACTACCCCGAATCAAGCACCAGTTGGAGGATTGAGGCCCGGGGCAGAGCTCGGACCGACGCCATGACCGAAGCCAGGTGGTGTTCCTAGATAGAATGGGAACTTGACCATGTAGAGGTCAGGCATATAGTTCCTGATAAATTTCTCCAAGTCGTCAAGCTCGGCATCATGCATCACCCCAAAGAGAATGTGGGAGCTTTCATTCTGGTTGTCCTCCCCTCCAACATACTTAGGGGCATCGACAACATATCCAACCTCCCTTTCTGCTTTTGCTGTTGCAACCACTCGCTCTGCCATTCTCCTCTTGAAGTCTACCTCGCTAAGAGGAGGCCCGGGGTGCATCTCATTGATTATGTCCCTGGAGAAACAGTACAGTCGAGAAAATGCATTCTTCATGGTTCTTTAAGTCTTATCCCTTTTGATCCTAAGCCTCTGGGAAATCCAACGCTCCCTCTGAAGTGCCTCTCTCACCTGGGCCAAAGTTGACTTCACTTCTCTCTCCCGTGTTTTCTCTAGCTCCGCCCTTTTGAATTCACATTCCGCTCAGACACTCTCCTGCTCCGCCCGCTAGGATTCTCGTTCTGCCTTCGCCCTCTACATAATTAGCTCCTCTGGGGAACGACTCTCTATAGCTAAAGCCTCCTCTAACTTCTCCAACGCCCTCTGAAGTCGACTCTCTAGTTGACCGATTCATGCCTCCCTAACTGCAGACCGCTCCCGCTCCTCTGCCAATCACTACTTTGCTGCAGCTACTATATGAGAGGCCTCACCCATCCTCTTCACCGTCGATGTCATCAGGACATGGGAAGACACTGACCACTTCACCACTTACAAACAAACGAAGATCAGTAAAACTTAACTAGTACAATTTAAAACTTACTTGAAAAAAATGCAAGAGATTTTTTTTACCTGGTTGAAAAACTCGGGTAATTTTCGGACTTTCACCATGATTGATACCGAGGGCCTCGAAAAGGCGTTGTGTTGTAGAACCCCAATGGGGTAGACATTGCTGACACCAATGATGTGCTTTTGGGCTTTGAAATTGGGAGATACAAGGATGAGGTGCTCTGTGGCGTTTGTACCTATGCAAGCTGTCCACATTCTATTGGGACGTCCATGGAAATTTGACAAATCTGCCCAACATGATGACAAGAATAACAAGTGCACTCTGTCTTGCAAGGGGCGAACACATACCTTAGTGCCAATGACTCTCAAAAAGGTTCTTCCACTCGGCTGTTGTTGATGCCGCACCTCTTTCGCATCAGTTTGTCTCTCTGTGATGTACATTTTTTCTCCTGTTCGTCTCCCCTTCAATTGTGTTTATTGGGGTCTCTTTTCCTCACTTTCTTTGTTCTTTCTCCTCGTACATTATGGAGGGACCTTCTCATGCGTTATGAGGCTCTGCCTCCCCTGCTATGTTTTTATTCTCATTTTTGTTGTTTTTTTTCCTTTTATCAATGAAATTCACCATTTTCTAAAGCAATAAAAGGAGGGTTTCATTAGCCTTCTCTCGGCTTCTTCGAGAAATGAAGCCCTAGAACTTCATTTTCTAAAGAAGCTGCCGAGGTTTCAAGATAAGATGGGCCTCACAACTCGACAATCTTTCAAATGATTGAGTGTCGTTTACTTGAACCAAAGGCTATACAAATGGTCTAAACCCTCTCAAAAAGTAGGTTGAGATCCTATATCCCTCGACAAAGCCTTTCATGCTAAGCTATTGCTCCTAAGGACATTATGGCCAAGTAACCCGAAGTCATATCAGGAGGCATTAAATTCTTTTAGGAGGTGGGACGAAAATCTTTCTCATTCAAGCAAACCCTCTCAAGATGTAGGGTGTATCATTCATTCACCCATCCATCCATCCATTCATTCAGGCTCATTACCTTAAGGTGGAAGTGAATCCCTTTAAACTTCATTAGTCCTGCCTAGCAATTGTTGTCTGTGAAGAAGTAGACAAGGCAAAAACCCTCTCAAGAGGTAGGGAGAAGCCTTGTATAGCTTCATTAAAATTCTTCACTGTCATGAGATCCAATATATAAAAAACGAGACCCAATTTTAAAAATCCTCAAGGAGGTATAGTGAACCTTTCAAAGTTCACAACAAGTCTTGTCAAGAGGTACAATGAATTCTCTTGTTCGTAGGATGAAGCCCTTATAGTTTCGACAAAGTCTCAAATCTTCATGAGGTAATGTTTTTTTTTTTTGTTTTGCTTTCGTCACCCTGGTGCAGGGTAGGTAGGTCAGGTCTCTCTCTAGTTAATTTTTTTATAGTAGTGTGGCGCCAAGGCATCGCAAGGTCCCCCGTTTGTTCGCAACAAGGGCTTGTTTTGCAAGTAGTCAAACGAAGATTTGTGGTAAACGCCATACGTACTTAGAGGAAGTCCTAGATTAGCATCTCAAATTGTTGTCGGCAAGTTGTAAAAATTAACTTGGTAACAACAAAAACTTTATGTGAAAACTAATTACAAAACAAGCTATTAACTTTATCTAGCCTTTAATTATAAAAAAAATTATCTAGCCTCCAGTCTCCTTAATATAGGTATGATTAACTGCTCATATAGTGGCAAGAATGCTCTCTTATCGTTGGTTCACTGGGTCGACCAACGTCCCTTTCCCTTTTTCGGATTAATCCTGAAAATATATTAATTTTTGTACTTTATATCTGATGTTCCCTTCTGGAATATCTATGAAAAAATTATGTTTATTTTTAGGCTTGTAATTGAGTTTTATGTTGTTCAACAAATGTATATATGAGACTAATCAGAGAACAACATGACACTTTTCATGTATTGATCTCACATGGGTCAACTTGTGTCAAATAATGTTTTCATCCTTATTTTAATTTTATAGGTAGTAGGTAAAACACATTTTCGAAAGGATAGTTGATCACAATTTTCCGGTTGACAAGTTATGGGGTTGTTTGTTACATCCAACATCCAAGGTTGGATCGTCAATGAATAGACTTGCCATTATATATTAGTGGCGATGACAATTTTGACCAAACTCGCACGATCGTCGTGCCCAATATATATGTAGAATAGGATGATGCATGTATCTTAGCCTCCCCTCGCCCACCTGCATGTGTTCCATGTGTAACTGTAACCAACCGATGGTCCCAATCTAGCCGTTGCTTGCGTTGGACGACCACTCCAATATGCAAATGTGAAATCTTTTTTTCAGCGACTCATTATGTAAATAAGGGATGAAAAATTGACGAACAAACTATCCTTTAAACTCTCCACTATATCTTGATTTGTTAACACGCATCCATCCTAAATTATGTTATTCATTACAATCTGTTACAGGAAGAATAACTAATGTTGCAAGTGTCTCAGATCAAGTATCCTCAACTCACATCATCGCTTCTCATCTATAGGATGCATTCGCGGTTGAGACATATACATGGTTGAACCAAAGGCAAACTACAGATCTTTCTAACATAAGTGACGGGGTGTTGATCAATAACATGCTTACTATACGTAGCTCAACCCCAATTAGTAATGAATTTGAGAACAAGTTCCAAAAAGTGGAGATTAGATAAATGAAATTGTTAAAATTCATTGCACATCTAAAACAATTCAGGGGTTCATTTGGAAGTGTGATTATTAAATAGATGTATTATGGTATGTGTGATTGTCATCAAAAACTGAGATATAACAATCTAAACTCAACTATATCACCAGACTCCGCTACAAGTTGAGATATAACAATCACGGGCAAAAGTTTATGTCACATCATAGAAACAATTCATGTATTGTGTATGAAAAAAATAAAATAAAAACCGATGTATGCTAAATATAGTAACAATCTCACAAAAACAATCACAACTTCCAAACAACATATTAACCACAATTATTGGTCTGATCTCAAGTAAGAGTGCAAAGAAGCAGCTATTAGTAGCAATTTCTGAATTCTCTAACCAGAGGCACCAGTTAAAGTTAGAAGAGTCGACACTAATTCATCCAAATCACATCATCATGAAACACAAGATTACAAAACAAGACCAGCTGGCCTAGATGCCCAATTAGCACCAACATAAACTCAATAATTACAATTAGATAAGATAGCAAACACAGGAGGGAATAATTATTAGTTAACATCCAGGGTCACTAATTATTAAGCTTACACATCTTCTCCCACTTAAAGCCAAAGCAACGATGGAACTTGCTTCTGGACAGACTCATCCCATCCATCATATATTGGATTCCTCATACATTACACGACGCAGAAGAAGAAACTTGCAATGGAGTTGGTACTGGATAGATAGAATGAACATGTAGGACCCACCAAACCAATTTTCTCTCCATTCCAACAGTTGACAAGGCGATGACCAGATCATTCCCATAACGAGTGCATATTGAAATCTGAAATCCCCAAAGCTTTCAGATTTTCAGGAAACCAGCCAGCTTGCATTCCTTTTATCATCAGAAAGATGAATATTCTTTTATCATCAGAAAGATGAATATTTCAATCTCAGGCGGGGTATATCAACTAATGTTGGAACTGAAATGATTTGGTTTGTCGCTTTGGGCCAAACGCAAACAAGATAGAGATGAAGCAAGCACAATGCAGCAAAATATGATTTCTTTATCCACAATCAGTGCTAATATTGAAGGCAGTATGGAAGTAGCCAGAAGCAGACCTCTGAAATCTTGCCAACTGAACTTTTTTCTGTTTTTTAGCGATAGTACAAGATCGAATATACTCAACGAAACCGACACACACAACCATGCAAAAAAAAAAAAAAAAAAGAAGAAGAAGAAGATTTTATGTTGCGCAAAATACAGTCTCCAGGCTTAAAAGAGGAGAAAAGTGCACCTGTAGGGAACTTCATATGATGCGAAGCCATCAACAACCTTGGCTGCTCGTCCAGGAAGGTGATAATCCAGGTTTCAGGATGAATCTCAGCACGAGACAGTGTTACAGAATCAAGAGGATGCCCTATCCAGGGATCCTTGTCTCAACTGTCGCTTAGCTTTTACAGAACACACTCAAGCTTTCCCTTTCGCAAGTAGATGGATACTTAATGCAAGGAATGAAAGACTGAACTCTCAAGGTCAAGGATACCAATCGCTACGAGTCAGTAGCCATTTCCAGAAGAAGTTTGGCTGATCCAAGAGTTGCTGCGTGTCCATTGCTGGATTTGCTAATAATCCCCTTCCCAAAATACTCGGCAATTACAGAAAACCCATCTTTTGAGCTCTTAACCTGTTGGAAGAAACGGTCCTGATCTTTGGAGTTCTGCTCCAGGTTCTCTTCATCCTCAAGGACTGATCTGTAGTCGGGAGCACATTCCGGGCATTCTTTCTCATTATCCCGAGGGCAACGTTGATGGAAAGAGTGCATGCACATGAAATGGACCGCTGGAAGATCAAGGGTGAAAGTGCAAGCAGTACACTTGCTGAGCTGGAAGATCTGGCATTCGTCCTTAGGTCTTGAATTTCTTTCTCATCGCCACTGTGTCGTCCTGCACATTTCAAAAAATAAGTTAAAATTTCCAATTAACAAATACCCTTATAGATATCTTTACATATGTCTCCAACAGCCATGTGTCGCTAGTGAAGTAGAGAATTAACCTGGTACTTCTCAATAGCTCGACGATCATTCCTCAATCAGCTTTGACTCTTCTTCTAGCTTCCGGGCGATGTTAATCCTTGATTACAGAGATCGTGAGGCATGGATTCCTTGATAGGGTCTGGATAACATTATAGGAGGCAAGATATCGTCCTCTTTCGATATATGTTAGAACTTCCTTCACTTCTTTGGAACAATCTTCCCCAAGTTCACCAAAGTATTTCAGCAGATCCCCCAAAGAGTTGCATCACCTCCCTTACCTGATATCTCCTAGCTTTTTGCAGCATGAAATCAATCCTTCATGGTCATGAGCCTGCATATAGCAGGCAATAACCTCCTTATACAGTTTCATTTTCTCGTAGATGTACAAAAGCCTCTTCTGTAAATACATTCATTCTCACAAAGTATTATAGCAAGATCGACATCATAAAGTGGTTGCTCCAGGTCAGATGGCAAACCACTCTTGAGCAAGTGCAAGCCCTTCTGAAGCCTTTCTGTTCGATATTTTTCTTCAGAAGTGTCTCTTTTATTAGCAGTTAATTCCCCTGATCTAGCTTCAAGAGAAAGAGCTACACTGTTGGTAGCTTGTGACATTGAAGGGAAGTTCAAATCATTGGATAAGTACAGCTCCAAGAGCGTGTTATGAATTTCTACTTGAGCTGGAGAAGCCTTCACCTTATCAGTGTATTTTTCAAGAAAGTCCATCAAAGAATGAGGATGATGGTATGAAAATGTTGAGAAAGTCTACAGGAGATGGCAACATAGACAAGTAGCCACTGCTTGATGATCCTCTGTTCACCAATTCATCCTCCGTGCAAAGCCTTATGAGTATTTGAATGTCTCAGCTGGTTTATGCTCTATGAGTGTTTTACCATATTCTTTCACCGTCACACCAGCCTGACTAGAGTCAAGGCTAGAAATATACTCCAAGGCTTCATCGTACCTGCCAAGATCCTCAAGCAAGATCTTCAGGTACCATTCATGGTCTCCAGCCTTTTAGCAACATACATTGCATGCTTCATGGTAATTGGCCGCACGACAAACCCTAATAGCAGTCTCCCACATCAAATTTATGCTCCCCCGACACTATCCTCACTCTTGATAAAAACATTCAGCTTCTCGACATCTTTCAGTTTGGTATAACAGTTCAAGAGAAGAGTTGTGTGGTCCTTTGAAGCGAGCCCCTTTTCATGCAAATTCTCCAGATAGTTTGTAAGGTTGTGTATCCTCTGTGCATCTAGGAACTTCTGAATCACGTACGAAGGTTCGAGGTGACCAATCGTGTTAATGTACTGAGCCATGGCTTCATCATAATCTTGCTTGCTATACAGATGATCTCCATACTTTCTGAGAACTTCAGCAGTAGCTGCAGCATCAGCTTGCTGGCTCTGAACCAGATTGATGCCACGGTGTAAAGATTTCTTTTGAAAAGCATGTCAAGCTTGCTTTCCATGTCTTTCTCGCCAATACACAAAGCCGATTGTCACTCATGATAAGTATGATGTTACCCCATTCACAAAGCATGTGAGAAACTTCTTTAACCACTATACTGTGGGCTATCAACCGGTTCTTTAGATCATAAACATTGAAAGTATCCTTGCCATTTCTCGTGGTCTGATATAACACATAAAAGGTAGCCTCTAAACACCCCATGAATTTTCTTCTCCCCTCAAATGCCCAACAAGGACCCCGCCATCAACTTCATAGAAGTAGACCGCTTCCGGTCGGCCAATTATCAACTCCTGGTAACAAAACCAGACACACAAAAGTTATATGTATGCACGAACTCATAACCAACAAGAACATAACTACTACCATTGCACTGTAAGCACTTACTCGACCGATCACTCATTGCAACACCTATTTACACTAGAACAATTTGATCCAAAGTCTGCTTCCACGGTGGTTGACTGTGCAGGCCCGGAACAAAGTCACTGAATCAGGAGTCACAGCAAACAACTGAAGGGTTTGGCCATCCACTCTAAAACCCAGACCCGTAACAGGCAATTGACTCTTGTTTGAAGCATTATCGACCTGCAGCTTGAAACGTTGGATTCGCTCTCTAGCAATGTCACCCTTGATGCAGTAAATGCAGCCATTGTCTAACCCAATAGCTATCAGTAGTATCGGAGGTGCTTCCTCTAGTACTAAAAACGAAGTAATCTGCAACCACATTTCATTGATTTTTTTTCTTCAGCATTTGCCATGATCTATAAAGCCATCAATATAGATAGATAGATTTCGCCAGTACCTTGGCCTCAGGGAAATTATTAGTGAAAATGCGCAATATGCCAATGGAATCAGGGGTAGCAGCGGCTGAGCTAGTTCCCTCCTGTTGCTGCGACGGCTTATCGAGGTCAAAAACCTTGAGGCACATGGCGGATTGGTGGGAAGCTAATTGCTCATCTTCGCCAACAGTTAACAGGAAGTTTCTTTGCTGTAATTTCAAGCAACTAACCAATCAACAAGAGATCAATCAAATTTTGAGAGGAAATCAATGGAAATGTGGAGGAAGAAAGAAGAAGAAGTGGAAACCTTGAGCTGCTGGAGGAAAAGGACGGAGGAAGAGTGAGATTGGAATCCTGAATTGAAGTTGAGGCCACGATCGAGGAAACTGACGGTGCCGTCGTTGCAGCCGATCACCACTTTGCCTCTACCGCTGGAAGAGCACTCGATCTTACCGGAGATTTCGTCCGGAATCGAGCTCTTACCGCCGTATTTGTCCTCGAAGAAGTCGAATTTCCTCCACTGGTACATTGTAGAAGATGCAGAACGGAATTTCCTCCACTGGTTTGATGGCTTGGATCACTAAGGAAGCACACAGAACGGAATTCCAGATGAGAATTCCAGTTTTTGCTGAAGGAAAGAAACTTTCAGCCTGCAGGCGACGAAGCAGGAAAGTAATCGTCGAGACAACAATTTCTTCCGAGGGATGACTGACTGTACACTGTTGGCATCCAAACGACAGAGCGTTTCACTGTTTTTGGGCTCTGGTTCAACTAAAACGGCTTCGTTGGCCTGACCGGGCTCATTCAACCGATTACTTTCAATCTTTAGGCTCAAACAGCTGACGAACTTTGCTGGACTTTTCTGATTGGGCTGAACAGTCTTTTCTTTTTGTTAACCTGCTTATGAATCATTGAGACCCAAACTTGATGACTATTCCATTGCGTTTTGCTATGAATCATTCATAACAAGAACTCCCTTGAAAAAAATGGTTTGTGATTGTTTGGTTGGAATAGTTACAAAATTACAATGTATGTATTGTTCATAATACATTGTTTTTTCTTTTTTGGAATTTTTTTTCACAAACAATACATGCAATGTTCACTTGATGTGGCACAAACTATCAATCAAAAGGAGTAATAGTTAAATCTCAAGGTTTTTGTGATATTTTTGAGATTGTTGAGTCTTTTTTTCTTTTAACTATGGATCGTTTGGTTTTGGTGAAAGTTTGGTTGAAATAGTAACAATGCATATATTGTCCACAATGCGTTATTTTTCTGAATTTTCTGCACAAACAATACATACATTATTAATTATTTGCTTGATGTGACACAGACTATCACTCAAAATGAGTGATAGTTAAATCTCAAGTTTTTTGTGAGATTGTTGAGATTGTTTCATTGTGATTGTTGGGGTTTTTTCTTCCTTCCAACTATGTCCCTAACTTTTAATGTGTCTTGCTCTTTTATATTAAAAATGAAGTGTAAAAGTGACATTTCACCCAAAAAGTAATATAACTTATTTAAATACTACAATAACTATCACAAAAACCAAACGGTGTAAACTACAATACACCAATTTTCTAATATCCATGTATCTTAACTTATATTATGGCCGTTGTGGAGCAAGTTTTTGTCACGTAGGACAACGAAAGCTCCACAATTTTCCATGTCATTTTGTCAGTTTTAACATTTTAAGTTATTAGTTAGATTAAAATAAAACTAAATAAACATGCATATCAATCATCATCACCAAGATTTTAACCTATGACCTATGAGGTCACACTATCATCATTTCAAATGTTCAACCACTAGGATACAGTATATTTGATGTTATTAACCACAACAAAACATGTATATCAATCATCATGACTATGATTTGATCATGCAACCTATAAGCTCAAACTATAATTATTTCAATGTTTTAACCAATAGAATAAAATATCTTTCATGCAATTAATCACAACTATTTTTTAACCAATAGAATAGCTATCACGGTTAAAATTGTGTAATCTATTTTTTAGCATTGATAAGAAAATCATTAACATCTACAAATAAATTATTTTTAGTTTATAATATGTTTCATAATTGTTTATAATTTCTTAAAAATAATTAAAAAATCCAAAAAACATAAATTTAGTTGGTACACAATTGTAAACTACATGTGATTTTCTTTTAAAATTGAAATATTAAAAGTAAAGTATAATCTTCTTCCTTCTACTAGAACACTAAGAATTGAACATTTTGTTTGTACGAACTACTATAAATATGTGAACCAATGTAGTTATGTTGCAATTTATTTGAAAATAATACTATAAATACTTACTATAAATATCTGAAATGTATCAACATAGTTCATTCATATGCTACAGTGATATATACACAAAATTTCATGAGTTTAAGAATATCACTAGACACCAATGGTCACCAAAGTTTTTTGTATATTTTTCAAAACCGAATTATGGTCATATGGTTTAAATATGTTTGTGACCAATTGGTGAAAGAAGTTATAAAAAAAGTCATGTACATATACATAATGCATTTGTCATTTTTAGGATTGAATTTGGCATTTCTTGCATATTAAAATATCATTATCTTTTCTTTTATGTTATTCCAATTTCTTTCTCCTTTCATCTGTTATACGTCATTAAATATTTTTCCATGCAAAATTATAAAACACATTGTCTTTACTTTTTTCTAATGTAATTATAATTCCTTTTTTTTCTCTTTTTATTGTTTGACATAAGTTCCTTTTTTTTTTCCTACATGAGTGTAGATGTGCAACTTTGAGTCATATTCAGATGAATAACACCTAAGTCAAGCAAGATTTGTAAACGAATTTTAAACTATTGGATATATGATGGTTGATATGTAAATAACTATTTTAATCCTTACTTAATGTGACACCCTAATACATATATTACTATTACTATTTTTAGTAGTAACCAGATATACTCGCCGGATAACCTTACCATACGATAATGATTTATATCTTTTCCGTTATCTTTAAGAGTATAGTTCAAAATGTATTATTGTCCCTCTCATTGACCATGGCAAAACATGGAGTATTCAATTTCCCGTCACCCACTTCTCAGACCTTACTGGCTTAACTTAACTGTCAAGATACATCCGATATGATATATCTTATTCAGTCAAATAAACATCCATTCATCACCACATGCCATATCACATTCATCATCTCAAACTCAAAGAATTCATACATCACAACATAAGGACCATCACTCATTCTCTTGATAACTCACTGTTTAAACATGTATGCATCAAATATCACATCATACTGGCATTACCATGTAACCCTTGTCCCAACATAGCAAAACATCATATCATCCAATCTTAAATCATTGTATAAAACACCATAGAAAACCATCATCATCGACATGCACATTTCATATATCACATCATAGAAACTTATCACTTAACCACATCATAAGTAATATTTATACAATGATTCAATCACATGCATGGTTAGGTTCATTGCATTTTACATCTTAATTTGCCAAGTCATACACTCCTCGGGTAGTATAGTAGATGACATGCATACCACCACAGATGTACCTAGACTGGTGTCCTATAAATCCATTGCGGATCATACCCTAACCGATGTCATGTATACTAGGGTGGGACGTACTGGACCGGTGTCCTGTAAAACCAACGCGGGATCATATCATGACGATGTCCTGTAAATTTAGTTAATATACTGACTGCTCAACAGAGAACCTTATGTTTGTATTAAGTTATCACAGAATTCCAGTTACAGTTAGTCACATATTAAATATTGGAGGATAATGTGAAGTGAAGACAAAGTGTCTCCATAACTAACATTTGCTTTGATATAATTCGTACAATGTTGAAGGTAAGAAGCATAGCAGAATAGTTTGGTTGTACATTGATATAATGGTGGAAAAAGCTAGCATACGTTCGAGGTGTAATATGCACCTTCATTCATACCTATTAGTTGTATGTTAATATATTTTGACAAATAAGAATCGGTGGTTACTATTTTTCATTAAATGAATCGTACGATTTGGATTAGAGAATTAAAGACTGGGTTTGACCTATTAGAGAATATGGTATAACATCATGTGCCAAACTCCGTTAATTCATGGTCTAAATACCAACTCTATATGAGTACGGTAAGGTGGCGTACACGAGCTTAAACCATGTACAACTCACGAAGTTGACAATTGTTGGTCAATCAAAGTTCTGATGGTCATGAATAATATTTTCCAAGCATTGATGAAGTTACAACGTTGTTTGACTTTATTGTCGATCATCATTAAAACCTAGAGTACAATCATAAATAAATATGAAAAGTAGGAATCTGATACCATTGGAGAAAATGACAAATAATAGAAGAAAAAGTACAAACAAATGAACTCGCCGCCCATCGGGTGGGCACAAAACTAGTATTATTATGAATGCATTGATGACAATGAATCAATATAACTATCACTATAACCAAACAACCATGCCCCTACCTTTTTATGTGTGTTGTTATCTGATATAGAAAAAAAAACAAAAGGTAAAAATGACATTTTCCCAAAAAACAATATAACTTATCTAAATACTACAATAATTAACACATAAACCAAACAATGTAAATTACAATTCTTATATATATGTATATTATTATGCATGCATTGATAACAATACATCAATTTAACTATAGCTACCATATTAATTATTAAGCAACATAGGGGTTATTCCAAAAAAATTAATAAAAAATCCAAAATAGCAGTACTTCACAACTATTTTCTAATACAGTGGTATTTTTGTTTTGCTGAAATGGCAGGGAGAAGGAATATTTGTAGGGATGGTAAAAATATCTGTAACCATGGATATCCGCCCGAATCCGACCTAATTGGGTAGGGTAAAATCCGAACCCGAAAGACTTTTAGTGGGTATGGGTAAAACCCGAACCCGAATATTGCGGGTAATGGGTGGGCATGGTTTTCTCACTATCCAACCCGAACCCGCCCGATTATACACATTCGTATATATTTTTCTAGAAATAATCAATATTTTTCTCTAAAATATTTTATATCTAGCATATCAATATAATATTTTCATGAAATTGTGTTGGTTTAATTAATTTTCTTCATTCTAGTGAATCATTATCGTACTTTTCTTCTTACATAACCTGAGAATACGTGTGAATATTAACATATTGGTTAGAGTTATAAAGAAAAACTATTACCCATGGATAATCATGGATACCCGAAACCTGAACGGGTATGGGCATGGTTTGGATTTTCTACCCGTTTCTTATGTGGGTATGGGTATGGGTAAAACCCGAACTACTTTGGGTAGGGTAACGGATATTCACTATCCGTCCCCGACGCGACCCATTGCCATCCCTAAATATTTGCCAACATATGATATGTCGCTTGACTAACTGGCGACATATGTCCTGCGGGTAAAATACTTTGGGTACCACTTAAATTTGAGAATTGGGGCAGATATACCACTTAAGTTTGAATAGGGCGTCGAGTACCATTAAAGTCGCCAAAATGTGCATCCGTCCAGTTTTTCATCCAACCCAAAAATTTAATTACTTTTTGGTATCCAAAACTTTTAAAAACATCCAAAACTATATTTCAACAAGTTTTTATCTAATATAGAAAGTAAAAAACCTTCTCATAATATAACTAAAATGGCTAATCAAAATTGTCAATAAA